AATTCCTTTTGAAATCAATTGAAATCGAATTAAAATCCCGTTAGACTCAATTGAAATGTAATGAACTTCCTTTTAAATTCAATTAGAATCGAATTAAAATCCCTTCAGAATCAATTGAAATTTAATTGGAATTCCTTTTGAAATCAATTAGAATCGAATTAAAATCCCGTTAGACTCAATTGAAACGTAATCAAACTTCCTTTTAAATTCAATTAGAATCAAATTAAAATCCCGTTAGAATCAGTTGAGATTGAATGACAATTCCTTTTAAAATCAATTAAAATCGAATGAAAATCCCGTTAGAATCAGTTGAGATTGAATGAAAATTCCTTTTAAAATCAATCGAGATCGATTTAAAATCCCGATATAATCAATTGAAACTTAATTAGAATTCCTTTTAGAATCAATTGAAATGGGATGAAATTCAATTGAGATTTAGTTAAATACGGCTAAAACTGTAATAAAATCATTTAAAGTCGCATTCAGTTCTTGTATATAAACTCCTCTATAAAACCATATGAAAATCAACCCAAACGTAGGATGTCTAGGGGATCCCTAATTCCATTGGATTTTCTATTATACCCCCCTCATGACCTCAAAACCCCCCTAATTCATTATGGTCTGGCTCCTTCTAAAATTAGTACAGCCCCTTTTAGAATGCTCATGAGGAATTTCTAGGGTCCCGGATTTATTATTTATTATTAGGTGTGGTTTTATTAATGCGGTGAAGGGATTAAGATTTTCAGGTTTAGTGTTTTTAGGTTTAGGGTTTAGGGTTTTGAGGTTTAGGGTTTTAAGGTTTAGGCTTTTAAGGTTTAGGGTTTCTAGGTTTAGTGTTTTAATGTTTAGGGTTTTAAGGTTTAGGGTTTCAAGGTTTACGGTTTTTAGGTTTAGGGTATGGTTTCTAGGTTTAGGGTTGTAAGGTTGAGTGTTTGGGGTTTTCAGGTTTAGGGTTTTAAGGTTTAGGGTTTTTAAAGATTAGGGCTTCTAGGTTTAGTGTTTTAATGTTTAGGGTTTTAAGGTTTAGGGTTTTAAGGTTCAGGGTTTTGAGGTTTAGGGTTTTTAGGTTTAGGGTATGGTTTTCAGGTTCAGGGTTTAGAGTTTCAAGGTTTAGGGTTTAGGGTTTGTAGGTTTAGGGTTTGTAGGTTTAGGATTTTTAGGTTTAGGGTTTTAAGTTCTAGGGTTTAAAGGTTCAGGGTCTTAAGGTTCAGGGTTTAGGGTTTTAAGTTTCAGGGTTTAGGGTTCTAAGGTTGAGTGTTCAGGGATTTAAGGTGTAGGGTTTTTAGGTTTAGGGTTTTAATGTTTAGGGTTTTAACGTTTAGGGTTTTAAGGTTAGGGCTTTAAGCTTAGGGTTTAGGGTTAAGTGTTTAGGGTTTAGGGTATTTAGGGCATTTAAAGTATTTAGGGTTTGGGGTTTAGGGTTTAGGGTTTAGGGTAGAGTTTTTGGGTTTAGGGCTTTAAGGTTTAGGGTTTAGGGTTTTAAGGTTTAAGGTTTTTAGGTTGAAGGTTTAGGGTTTTAAGGTTTAAGGTCTATACAGGGTTCAACACTTGTGGGTTTAGGCTTCAGGGTCGCCCATACCCCTAGGTTTGCCCTGCCCCTAACAACCCCTTTTGTGCATGTAACGATGTCTTTCTCTGGTGCAGGGCTTAGGGTTCTTAGGGTTTTGTGTCTGGATTTCCTTGGGGTTTAGGGTCCAGTAGGGTTTAGGGCGTTGTGCTAGATTTTTAAAGTTTAGGGTTTGGGGTTCTTGGGGGTGAGCAGTCCGGAATTCTTCAGGGATTGAAATTCTTTAGGGTTTGGGGTTTGGGGTTCTTGAGGCTCCAGTCCGTAGGTTCCTTTAGGTTAGGGGTTATGGTTTGGAGTTCTTGAGGGTTAAGGATTTGTGCCTCAGTAGGTTTCAGAGCTTGGGGTTCTCTAGCACTAGGGCTTCTTTAGGGTTTAGGGGTTCTTCAGGGTTTGGGGTTCTTTCGCGTTTGAGGTGCTTTGGGGTGTACTCGGCGGCGATGCAAATGAATTCTTGGGTAACTGCCATATCACAAGCGCTGAACCTGCGCAGACTGACGACACCCCCCCCCACCCCAACTCGGGAAACTCGTCTTCTTAAAGTCTTTGACCTTGCTCACAGTCGTGAAAAGACTATGTGTGTCAGTGTTTGTTGACTTTCGCATATAGGCTTTGGTATGCCCTGGCCTCCGGGCAAACGAAGGGGAATGCCCTTCAAGGTTTAGGGCTTGGAGACTTAGCGCAAGATATCGACTTGAAAACCACACCACCATGTAAGGTTGCCTCCACTAATAAGAAGAGCTTTGCGGGTCCCTGCTACATTCACTTGATAGCCAAACGGGGTCTTTATGCTAAACCCCCTGCCCCAGATCGTTGAACCCCTTGGATCAAGACCTCACCGACGAACCCCAAGATCAGAGCCGGAGAACACAGCAATCCGAAACTTTCCAAACCCCTTCAACTTAAACCTAATAAGCCCTAAACCCAAAACCTCGAAACCCTAGACCCTTAACTCCCGAAACCCTAAAGCATCGTCATCCTCTAGACCCGCCACTCTGCCCATGCTATGGTTGATGCAAGCCTCACCAGCCACGAAGACCCAGAATAATGGGCCATCATCCTGCGACTAGCGGTTGCACGTGCATGCCTGTTCTGAGTTTAGGGTTAAGGGCTTGAGCTCAGTGTCTGGGATGTATGGTTGAGGGTTCTATGTAGATGGCTTCCTAGAAAGGGTGCGACTTGCAAGACATGCACAATGAGGAGTACCCTCCCCTAAACCACAATGAAACCTGAAAATGGGCTACATAGACCACCGTACTCAAGAGGGTGGCCATAAGGGTATGGATACTGACCGCTGCATGCATACCATGCATGCCAGCAGTTGCTATTGGGAGTCACAGTCACGAAGGCATGGCACTTCCCTGTATGCTCCCTATATATATATATACATATATATATATATGTATACAGTTGTTTCTCTATATGTATATATATTACATGAGCGTATCACACCCTAGTATCCCAGTAGCCTATGATCCACCATAGTTCACAGCACGCCCTGCCCCTCAAAAGAGGCCATTTTCCTCCTGCAGGGCCAACTTGAACCGAAACTCGATCCTGCAGAGCGCGGGCAATGTTGGGTTTAAGGGTTGAGAGTATAGGATTTAGGGTTTAGGGTGTTGGGGTTAAGGGTGGAGAGTTTGGGCTGTAGGGATCAAGGTTTAGGCAAACATGTGCTGTGACTGTGTCAAAGGTTGGGTTACGGTCTTGGGGGGCCCCCCCGAGACATCAACATTCACACGCCGCAATTTCAGGTGGGGGGGTTGTTCGGAAGGAGAGAGGATCCAAATGAGACGCTAAACACTCATGCGGGGATTTGTCGAAATAAATACATTCTGGGGACCCGTGAGTACTTTTGTAATGGCGTTGATGGATCCTTTTGCGGACTTGCTTGGCAGGCATCAGGATATGATCTCAAAACTTGAAGGACAGGTTTCCCGTCACCAGCCTGCTCACAAATCACAAGCGAAAATGCCAGCTGCGCGCCTGAACAGCCAGTGCCGACAATTCAGCACCTGCCAGCAGGCGCCGAAGATATACACTCCCCATATTGTCCCCCGAAGTATCCCCCATATTCCCCCATGCACCAGATCAGCAAGCTTTAAACCAAATAAGAGACTTGCATGCGGGAGGCTGCCAACTACAATACTGAAGTTGGGTTTAGGGTGTAGGTTTGAGTGTCCAGGGAACCAGGGTTAGGGCTGGGGACTATGAAGAGTCTTCGTTCGTGTCCCGCACACTTTCCTCAAGGACCTATGGATCCAGCAGCAAGTCTTGAGTGTTCTGGAAACTGCTACCACGTAAGTAGCCGTCCCTATATAGACCCCAAATCATTGATAGAAGAGATTCCCAATTCCTCTTTGACCTGTGGTGGCCTTTCGGCGTAAAAGTTTGCAGATCTGCCCTCGAGCATGCGGTACGGTAACACTGGTCGCAAATTCTTCGTTGGCGCTGAAGAAGCACAGGAAGCTTGATTCCCAAAGCATACGGTTGCTACAAATCCTGCCTGACCCCCAAGTACTTTATACCTTGCGAATTACAGCATGTTGGCATAGTACAATCATGCGGGGCTTCAGTATCAACAATACAACAGCAGTTACTCTCCTTGACATTCCGGTTCAGGTTTACAGTTTACAGGTGAGCCCAGTACCCCTACTCGAGGTTCCTCAAAGCAGAGTAAGGTTTTCATGTCATGTAGGCGATATTCCTTGATAATGGGGTGTTGGGCACTCAGGTCTTGTGGGGCCTTGCGGGCGCGCTTGGCCGCAGCAACGTCGGTGCCCACGGAATCGGCCGGGTAGGTCTTAGCTCCGGTACAGAAGCGAAAGCTGCTTGAAGGTTCGGGGGTGCGCTGCAGCACTCGAAAACGGGTTTCAACCATAGTCATCAACCACTCCTGGAAATGTCTCCAAAATCAAACTCTGCCAGTCGCGCGACTTAAGCCACAAACAATCATCCCAATCCATGAACCTCCAGGTACATGTTATACTCACAAAGCAACCCATCCATAAGAATGTCTGCTAAGACTCATAGCTAGGGCATGTCTGCTGCTTTACCGTGAGTAGCACTAGCACACATTACTCCATACTTCATGCACAGAGATGTGGCACTCCTCATCACTGCCTTCAGTGCAAGCTTGTTTGGGGCGCAGTCTATCAGCACTTATGATGCGACTTGAGAAAGTGCTTAAAACCAGTTGCGAGGGGATTCTCGCTATCCCAACCCCAAATTGAGGACCCCGTGACTTTCACATGACTGTTACAAATTCCGGATGTGCGGTTCGGATTCCCAAAAACCTCTCATTACCTGACCTGTACATTCCTAATATGACCTCCGTTTTAATTTCATCTTTCTTTTCCATTTGACTCTCCATTATCATGTCAAATGTGGGGAAACCTAAATACGACATGGGTGCGAAGGTTATTAGCCGCGAGGCGTGGCCGCAGGCGCAGCATTTCACCACCAGCAGCTCCTCTACCTGGGGATTGTTGCAAACTTGCTCTATGGTTTACGTAGGGTTTATGGCCATGGGAGGGTTATACAGCGGTTAAATGGGGATACAAGGGCTCTGGATTTAGGTTTCTTGCGGCTTCCACAGTTTGATGTAAGGAAAGACCTTGATTTTTGGAGAGCGCATCTATGGTAAACTTGTGGAATCCTTCACCTGAGCTTCTTGGGCCATGCAGAGGCCTTCAACAATGGAAATTGCGTTTAGGGTAATGCATAAGATGAGGTTACGGATATCGAGGAAACACGCTTGCAATTATAAAAGATTTTGCAGTGGAATGTTGGACCGCACAAGTCGGCAGGTTGTCCAAAGGCGCCTTTACCGGGCTTTTGATAAATCGGAGACCAAGTATGGACCCCAGTGCGAGAGAACTGCTCTGAACCCAAACACACTAGAATACTCCCATCATTTCAACTCCAAATAAGGCGCGACGATTTCTGGGGAATCCCCATACCGTATTGCCATGGTCTGCAGATGCAGGCATGCTGACTAGATTGCATCTCAACGGCTATCGGATGCTGCAATGCTTGAGTGAGAAGTTTACTATACAAGCCCAAATAAATAGATTAGGGTTTTTAATTAAACTACACTCTTGCTGTTTAAGGAAAAGGGTCATGGTGTTGGTAATTATGCTAGCTTCTACACCAAATGCGCTTGACCAGTACCCCTCAAATGCCAGGGGTTACGCGACAGATGGTCAACACTGGTGACCCCGCATCATGTCACGAGAAATCCCGGCGTCTCAACCATCATTGCTACCACAAAGTTGGAAGCGTGAGCGTGTTGGGTTCCACAAGAGCCTCCAGTCTCCAACTGAACCCTGGAAGCATAAAATGTTGCTCAGAGTGATAGAAACGATGCGCAAGGTTGCAGAACTGTATCCATGCCTTGCCGGCAGGTCTATTCCGCTGGCAGTGCAAACATACATGCAATCATATCCCAAGCCCAACATGAAAAACAAAAGAAGATGACGAATAAGCCCTTATGAAATCCAGGCAGCAAAGCTGTTCCCTTTCCGTTGTGTATTCTCTGATAGATCACAGCCGCTGGTCACTAGCTGGCACAGACAGTGCTGGATGCAGGCATGATTCTCGTGTGGCATCTGCGCCGCTGACGCCGCAGATCCTCAGCAAGTCGGTGTTGGGTTTGACTATGTTGCAAGGCCACAATAACTAGAATCGGGAGAGAATATCATGGTAAGTAATGTAAGGGTTGTACAGGGATGATATGGCTACCAATTTCGGCCTTTACATGTTGTGCGCCCCTGGTGTTCAAACCCGGGCAGAACTTGGATGAGAATGCTGGGTTGTTGCTAAGGAATGTAAACACGTTACCAGAATATGGATATGCATCATACGCAATACACTATGGGATTTCCTGAGCAACAACATAGTAAGCTGTCGTCCTGCGTTCGTCTCAGGCACGGGCCGCTTTACCGCGAAATTTGTGAGGACCACACACCTGGGGAGGCCACATTCCAAACTTTTGAGAACTTTCGAGTTGCATGTTTTTGTCACGTGTTGGGAACGGCGGGGAGGATTATGGGCATTGGCAGGAGACTAGCCTTCGGCCCTACCTCTAGATAGACATCAAGACGATATGGGGAACTCCATGATTACTAACATTACTACTACCATTCCTGTCAATCACCTGTTGCTGTGACTTACTGCCATTATTGCTGCCATTTCTGCAACCAGTACCAATAGTACTTCTGCTGCTGCTGCTGCTGCTACGAGCACCGTTGCTAAGACTACTGCAATCGTATCATTACAACAACCGCTACTTGCCTTTGGACGGGCTGGACAGGTGTGGTACTGATACTTTTTAGGGGTGAAGACTGAGAAAGTAAGCCGACGTTCTGATGCGACTACTGACCTGATTATAACTACTAGTATGTATACTTCTGCATTTTCGTCCTATGTTGAAGGGAGGGCAGGACAACATCTTGCTCTTGGTCCGGGTTGGCATTGTTGCCGTCATTACTTGGCGTAGGCGTCCAGGGGGGTAAGGGGCAGCATCGTTCTTTCGGGGAAGCATTGTCATTATTTTCTAGGTCCAAAAAAACGCAAATATTTCCCCATTCAAGGCTCCATGAAGTCCTCAGGTGCATATTGCACCTGGGTCTATCAAAGATGTGGCCACAACCACCTGCAAATTCCTGAAGCCGCGAGTCCCAAAATCCAAAGCGCTGATCCCCAGATTCCAGGCCTCTCTCCACGCAGCGCTAGCGTGGGGATGTCCCGTATCCTGTTCAGAAACAGGTAGCAGCTCACCACATGTTGCTTGCGGCTAGCACTGCGACGACTACTGAAGATGGGCTTGAAGGTTCTACATGGTTCACGGGTTTTAGGAGGACAGACTCACTCACACAGTGGGTGCGACAGAAAGCCAGAACCGGAGTTGTGTACTTGAACTGGGGCCTGCCGCAACCAGTTTATCCAACAAACTCACAGCTGGCATTTTCTGTGGCGCGACCCTTCAAAAAACACGATGCTCAGAGAATGAAAGCCTACAGACCACCTCAAACACCCCATGGGTACTACAGACATCAGATTCCAGCTCCCAACCCCGACCTCTGTGGCTCAACCAAGTTGGCATAGACCTGGGAGAAGGTGCCCATGGTTTTGGGCTGAGGCTTGAATGTACCCCTATAGTCCTGAGTAGCATAAAATACCACAACACCATCTTCTGATTAACGACGCACCAAAACCCCTTTCAACCCATATACGAGCCCGAGGTCCATTTCATGTTGGATTTTCTTTTGAGCCTGCTTCTCCATTCTTCTACTCAAATACACCACTACATTAGGCGACCAAATCTTAGCTGGACACCCGAAGACAAGAAGCTGGAAATTCATGGACTGCCAAGAAGACAGGAGCCAGGTAGGCATATTACGAAATGCGAGTGGTGTACATATATATATATATGAATTCCGTACCTGCAGCGCAGCCACCATGAACCACCACATTGTAGGCCACAGTAAAAAAACGCCTAGAAGCCTTCACACTCCCTTAACCTGTTTCACGGAATCGACCTTTGGGCCGGGCAGTGCGAAGCTGCGTTGCTAAGGGCATCTCCCCAGCCTTCACCAGACAGTGTATATAGGGGCTTCATTGGGGTTATATAGGGGTTATATAGGGGTTATATAGGGGCTTCATTGGGGGTTATATAGGGTCATATAGGGGATTTATTAGGGTTGTTATACGGAAGAAAGTGGTTTACTGCGCTTCCCGGCCGACTTCGTACAGTCTATCCGACGTTGACCATATCCATGGTGGACTATAAGGAAGGCCTTATATAGCCGAAATAGTATTGTCTGGATTTTCTGGGACCCCGCACAAAAGAAATCCCAAGTCAGTACAGGTCTTCGATTCACTTTGAGACATGTAGACTAGGCCAATCCAAAGGAAAGGCGCTGGCTCATGGGGATACTATGGAAAGTTACACTGCCGTCTGACTTATTGGGATATATCTCTTTGGACAGGTTCTATGTTCCTAATCGCAAAACAGCAGCCACAATGATTCAGCCAAGTGCGCTTATCTACCCTGGAACCCTCCCCAACACCAAGATTTAAGTGTTCTTTGGGATTGCTAGCAGGCAAAAACCTAGTAACGTGGGCACTGCTTATAGGGGCGGTTCTAACGAGGCGCGAAATGTGAAAAATACTTCTGAAAACCGATGTAAGGCCGTCCCCGCAGTGCCTCTGTTCCAGTCGCCACGGCTTCGGAGGGCTTTGCCGGAACCGGAGGTGTCTCCTGCCGAATCCAACTGAGGAGTGCTTGGCCTTGGTGGTTGAATTAGGTATGTTAGGGTTTAAGGTTCGGGTGTAGGATTAGTGAATTAAATGCTGTACCCATGAGAAGAATAGACTCTCACACTCTATTGGGCTTACGAGCTGCAGGCACTTCTGGGAAGTTCAAAGCATTTCAGGCTGAGGGTAGCTAGGTACTCGCTGAGAACTCTCTCTCTCTCCGTCCTCTTCTTCATCCAGTTCCGTCGTATCGCCACCTTGGTATACAGCTTCGCACAAGTTTCTAGGCGAGTCTGGGCTGCCGAGCGGCAAAGCAAAAGTGGAGCCTGAAAAGGGCCCTATGTCCTATGTTCACTGCTGTCCTTTCAAAAGCGGCTCATGCTTAGAGGTGTGCCTGCACCGATCGAGGGCAATGTTTCAAACCTGCGCAGGTTCCTACCGACAATTGCTGGATCTAGCAAGTTGCTTCCAAAATGCAGATAAAGATAGCCTGTACACCCATTAGCTTGAGGTCATTGGCCATAATTAGGTGCATTTAAAAGTCTAATTGGAGATACATGGGAAGTTATAAGCTGGGTCGGAAGAATCCGGATTCAGGTGAAAATAACGCATGGCCTAGCTCTTACCCAACTTCTAACAACTCATGAAACTCTGAGTCGATAAACCCTAGACAGAGCTTGAAGCTCCAAATGCCCCTCAATCAAGGAATATACCCTAAAAAATGCTAGGACCTTAGTCTGGTTTGAGGAATATTGCTCAAGAATAGATCTTAAACTAGGCTAGAAAAGCTACTCTGATTGCAGGAATGTTCCTTAAACCTGGGTTCTAAGGCCCTCTGGGAACTGGGAACTTGAGGGATCCTTTCACTTTCGAAGGAATGGGTCTCCAGCTGCCGCGGCTCTCGCGAGGCGCCTACACCAGGCCAAGGCGGCTTCGTAATTTGGAATCAAACCGAAGGCTAGAAGGTCCCTTGAAAGAATAAGGGGCATATTTGGGGCTCAGCTCTTTACATTCTGCGGTCTTAGTGCATTGCGATGAGATGGGGCTCTCTGAGTTGGAGACGTGCGGGTTATAGGGATGTAAGGAGATTGCAAAGAGACAATGGAAGGGGCCCTGCTCAGAACTCAAGCGTGACGGCTTTGAAAAAAGAAGTGGTGCAAAGTCTCAGCAGGTCCATGCAAGACAGATGCAGAGTGGGAGCATGATACGGGAAGGGCCCCAAGACTTGAACAGGGCTTCAGGATGCATTTTGCCATCATTCTATGAGGACCGTAAATTAATATCATATTGGCAAGTACTCATGCTTATCACTATTAGAACTTCTAACTTCTCCGCCGTTTTGGGGGGGTGATGCTGACTATTACAGGGTATGATGGCCTGGCCTGTTAGGGCACTTCGCTCTTGGTGCTTAAGTGGCGAATTCCCACAACTCACACGTAAGAGAGAGCCTCAACTCCAGAGCGCTGCTGAGGTTGGATTTAGAACGCTTCCCTCGATAAACCAGAAAGACCAGTAACAATAAAACTGAAAGAAAAGGGGCTGCAGCTCATCTTGTAGGAATCCTTCCTGGTTTAGGGGTTTTGGGTTTACAAGACTTCTGACCCCTAAACCCTACATCCCCGAAGGCCTAAATTTCCTACGCCACAGGTTTCTGCCAAGGACCATGAGAACAGCCCATTCATTCGGCCTCAGTGCTCGCGGATGGGCGCGCCTTGGTATTGCCTGGGCAAATGTTGGGCATTCGGTAGTAATTAATAACTGGAAATTAGAGTATAGGCTTTAGGGTGTAGAGATGTAGTCCCCTCAAGCCAATAGAATGTGGAATTCCTTCAAAATCATAACAAGATCCCCATATAGCCAATGTTCTACCTACTTAAGAAGGACTATGCTTGACAAGCTTCATAGGGAAAATCAAGGTTGACCTTTTGGGCTTATGAAGGAATTATGTCACCCACACCATTGAGGGTTGCTTACTGGACAACTGACGTCGTTAGTTGTGCATTCTTCGTCGAAGAATGCTACGAGGACCTGGGACTCCCCACGGGGGGATGGAGCTGCTGGCGCGCTCGGCGCACTGGGTGCAGAGCCTGAGGCTCATCTCATAACAAATCGCCATGTGGGATTTGAATAACCCTGTAGGGTTGTACAGGTGTTGTAGGGGAATTCTGGTCCCTGCAGGGATTATGCTGAAGACACGCTTGTGAAACTTCCATAACATCCCTGGCAGGGATCCTCCAATCTCATCTTCTTTTTCATATTAAAGGCTGTCAACAGCACTGCCGATTTTTGTACTTGAAATTTTGGGGACCATTTTATACTTGACCTCCGAAAAGACATGACAAATTCGACACCCTAGAGACATTCCTGGTCTCGATCTTTGTGTATATGTGAACACAAACTAAAATCTCCGAAAAAAAAACACCAAAACTTAAACCCGTTCTCCTAAAACCTGGACCTCAAGCCCCGGTATAGCCTAAAACCTAAACCTTAGACCCTGAAATCTCGCTACTTGTATTTACTGTCATTGATAGTATCTCAACTACTACTACTACTACTACTACTACTACTACTAGTACCACTACTACTACTACTACTACTACTACTACTACTACGACGACGACGACGACGACGACGACGACGACGACGCTCACTACTACTGCCTTTGTTGTTGTTGTTGTTGTTGTTGTTGTTGTTGTTGTCATGTTGATTGCTACCGTTTTCGGCCTGCAGTCGCCGGTGCTGGAGATGCCGAAGTTGCAGCCAGTGCTGACCCTGCACAGGCCCAGTAGTTAGTTGGTCCCTCTTCAGGGGCCATAGGGGTTTAACGGATCATAGTGGTATGGAACATGCGGAATGTATAGGGCTACGCATGTTTAAAGCTTTTATCAGGGTGGACTTGGGGTTGACGGTAAGGGTTTGGGGTTTAGGATCCCGATTAGAGTTCTAAGGGGTTGAACAGATTAGAAGCCTTTCTGGTAAGTCTAATCTTGCCTGCAGCTTGGGTCTACAGCCTTCCTGCACATTCAAGCACCGGCAATCCTTGACTAAGGGGCACCACTTGTTGCTTGAGGATTATAAGAGAGCAACACTGGTAATTATTCAGGCTTCTACAGTACAGGCTATGAATCTGTCTACACGTCCCCATCAACCCGTCTTTCGACAGGAACTTCATGATATGAAAAGCCCTTCCTAGGGGCGCTCCACTGTAGAGTCCTTCACAGTTGCCAATAACTTCAACCTTTATGTGGTTGTCGCGTACTGTACCCCAAAAGCCCTCTTCTGATGCTTCAGGCCATGACAAGTTACCTCTGCAGTAAAAAGAGAGCTCATGGGAACGTGAGGCACCTTCGCCTCGTGGTGGCGAAAGAAGTGGTGCTGCTGCTGCCTTTGCTGCAGCTGCATTTGCGAGCTCCTACTCCAATCATGTGACTCCTACAGGAGCTTTACTACAAGAGTTTACCAAACTCCTTACCTCTAGTCTCAGAAAACCTCACCTTGCCTTGAGATGGCCACAGCCACAGTGTTGCCACTGGTCTTCCCTGCATTGTCATCAACTTCCTATACATCTGATGGGCCTCTGATGGAATAACCGTCCATGGAGACGTCGGACTCCTTACTTCTCGTGGGGCACAACTGTATGTATGCACCACGTGGAGAAGGTCTACTACGTTAAGAATGTCACAAAATCTCACAAAGCAGACTCAAGCAGGACCCAGATTCACCGGCAGTGGCGTCTTCTGCTCATGTTGAGCATCCATCAGCTTCCTGCGCAGGGCCACTGCACAACCCCCAACCGCATAGCCACCGCGTTCGGCTTTTCTCCATTCCCATTCTAGGAATCATAGAGGTTCATATGGGGAATCCTCAATTCACATCGGCATTTGTCAATCCTTTTCTCTCTTTGCGGAAGCTCGAAATCACTCCCATCCCAAAACCCTAAGCACGTACGGCTCCTTCTGAAAAACTCCCCAGGCAGGAGATTTTTACCATGCAGGTGAGTAGCACTCAAGGCAGCTACATGTAGGGTGATGACTGGCTAATTAGGGCCTAGAGTTCAGGGGGTTCTCTGCATCATCTCTCAATTGTTGGAAGCCCGCAAATTGAGGTTACAAAGCTCAAGACCCGCATGCACACCTCCGCGACTCCACATCCATGCACCAATCTGGCACGCGCGTGATTCCTGCCTGCGTCTAGGATTTAGGGTTCAGTTAGGGCTCAGGGGTTCAGAACCTGTTGCAGGGTTGACAGCACAGAAATTAGCAGGTATCCCCAAGGACCCTAGACACGTATGGTGGTTACAGGGAATGATGGGGCACACTGGTCAACCACACACGAACACAGCTAGCTGCAGAATTTGAACGTAGGCCTCTTGCGGTGTTGCCAGAATCGGTCTTCGCATCGCATTATAAGCATACCCCCTAAAAAGAGATTGCAAATATTGGAAACCCGAAACCCTACATATCCAAAAACCCTCCCCACAACCCCTGTAGCACCTTAAGCAGAAAGCCAATCTACAACCATTGCTGTAGATGGCGATGAATATGAAACATAAAGGAATCTTCGTGTCTGAGGCTCCAGGCAGAAGGGACCGTGAGGTAGTCCTTAGGATGCTTCCATTTTTGGGCTTTTTGGAGGTTCACAGGATGATGAAACAGTCTTGCGCATGGGGCTAGGTAGGAATGGAAACTACTTTGTTCAGGTTTTCTTGTTCCGGGCTTTGCCAAAATCATGACCGCTTTTAGGGATACCCTGTATATTCGCGGCGGCATTATGATAGAAATTCAAAAGTCCTGGATAATCAAAGAGTCTACGGGTTTAGGTTTCTGAGTTTGGGGATTTAGTACGGGGGGCTTAGGGTTTAGGGTTCCAGGTTTATGGTTTAAGCATAATCAGGAGGTTGTGCTTTGGGGGTGCTGCTCTCAAGCAGCTAACCATGCTACGTGAACGCATGACAACATCTCTCAGAGGCCACCCGAAACTGCAAGACCTCCTGCTCAGCTGCATGTGTGTCTCAAAAGTGGGTACAGTAGCTCGGTCTCACGCCCTCTTCTGCTGCAAGCAGGCCGTTCAAAAATAGTAGATTCCAATGTTGGCGAGTAACCGAAAACACTTTTGCTTTTCCATGAGGACCTATTTCCTTCCCAAGGACCATACACATAAAATGGATTCTGAGGTGTTATATGCGAACCAGACGGGTTCTCGGAAATGAACCCTAAAGGGGCCGGGCCGAATGAAGACCCGCCCAGAGGGCGCAAATACCCCATTCACGATACTCAACAGGCCCTAAAGGATGCTAAAAACCCAATCTTCCGTACCCATGACATGATGTTCAGCCATGCATCTCCAATTCTGAAGCTCTGACCCTGGATAAGTGTCAACTCCAGCCCTACTATGAACTCTGACTGCACACTAGGCGCAACTCTACCGGTAAACCCTTCATCCAAGAAATCAGCTCCTCAAAACTTTCCTATACAGGATGTCCTGTCAGCTTGGGTATCCCCTATTATAATATAGTAGTTTCCATGTTCTTTTCCATTATCCACATATAACCCAAAAATATTCTATATAATCCTGTATCCCTATACTAAGGGTTGCCATTTTATTTTCCATTATACCCCATGTAACCCCAATATATTCCCTATACCCCCAATATCACCTGAACTTGGTGCATCGCAAAAAGCGAGGTATTTTCGAGGCATGCACGGTGTTCTGCAGGCTACCCGGCTGGCCTCCTGGCCATAATGGAAAATAACATGGAAACTACTCTATTATAGTAGGGTAGAAAGAGAGGAAATATTGGGGTTATATGGGGATAATGGAGAAAGAGAAACTACTATAGTATATTGGGGTTATACTAGGATAATGAAAAATACAATGGAAGATATAAGGATTATAGGGTTAATATAAGTATAGGGTTTATATAGGGGCTTTACAGGGATTATACAAGGTTTATATTGGGATTATTATATCAAGGCTTTTTTGGCAGATTTGAGAGATCTCCGAAAATTTGAGGAGGGTAACCTAGGGCCCCCACAACTTATGGGAGTGACATAACACAACTAGTTCATTGTTCGGAGGTATAAATAGGAGATATAAGGAGATAAGGTTACTGGGGGTAAGTCTGAAGGACTACAAACGCACATTGCTGACCTGTTGGGATGGAGGTTCAATAAAATGACCGGACCGATGATGAAGCAAATCTCGCTCGACCCTAGACGAACCCGAATGCAGCAGCTTACAAGTGGGTAGTGTCCCATAGGCGTTCTATACAATTCCCAAAAGGTACAGACTTCTACCTGCGGTCTGTGAAGTATTGGAATTGCGAACAGTTAATTGGCTGTAGGTGGCGCATGATTTCTTCCATCAACCGCGTGAGCAGAGGGCATAAGTTGCTCCACTAAGCTCAACCCTGCATCCTAGACCTCAAGTTCACATACCTACTCCCAACTAGAATGTCTGCTCATCTACTCACCGCTGTCTGAGCCCTGAACGCAAAGCACCCAAAGGCCTTCGACCTCCTCGTGAGACTTCCAAGAGAATAGTCCGACAGTTCCAGGGTTCCCACACATGAAGCGTTCCATGATTTGAAATCATGTCAACGCCATGCCGTCGAAGCCTGCACAACTGTTAATGTTATGCCCGCATAGCCCTCATAGAACTGTAGTAGAATTTACCTTGCCATTGTTTTCCCTCTTGCTGCATAATCCTCATATACGTATTGTAATCTTTGACAAATTCACACCTGAGCCAGAATCCCTCTGAGTGCCCCGCGGACACCAAAAACTCCCTGCAGCCGGACCCACGTTCCACTTCGCAGCTGACGGAAGGGCTTCAGGCAGGAGGGCGGGGGCAGATTGAAGGTTTTGTGTTTGTTTGACAATTTAGTTTGTTGAGGGTCAGAGACAGATGATTCAAGCAGGCTGTGGCTGACTGTGCACCACATGCCTATCCAGCACAATGAACAACAGGGAGCATCCAAATTAGGAGATACCAAAGGCGGGGTTCAAAAAAGGGGGGATCAAAGGACCATGGGGCGTCCTCATGGATACAAGATCTATTTCTCCAATATCCAGTGGGCAACTGCCCTCACGATGCTGAGAGCAGGTGCATGGTAGATTCAATGGGGATGCCTCGGAGTCTAGCGCCTAGGGCTTATCCAAGGTTTAGATTGGGATCCCCTTTGAAATCCTTACCCTAAACCCTAAATCGCGAAAAGTGAAGGGCTACTGCCTGGATGGGAAAGGGACTACAATCAACCCTGTAGCCAATCTTAAAGTCTCTCAAGGTCCCTATGTACAGTTGGCTAGGAAGCAATGAAGGGATGGAAAAGAAAACGGAATGACGAACTGGATTATCGAGTCTACTATTGCATTGAACTATAGCACAAAGACTACTAGTGGTTCATGCCCTACCATCCAACCGTGCGATAAGCTCTCAACGCATAAAACATGCAAAGCTTACGGGTTTCAACAAAAAAGACCTGCAAGCTGCATCCTTGAAAGCAAGGCAGTCGAGCAGATGCTATACGGATTTTGCAGGGCTTAGGATTAGGTGTACAGCTTAGGGTTCAGGGTTGAGAGTTTCGGATGCAGGGCTCAGGGTTTAGGGCTTTGGGTTTTCTACTGTAGCTTGCGGCCGTTCTGGTCTACAATACGGGGCTCCGGTTTGAAGTTTAGCGGCTGAGGCTTAGAGCAGGTGCTTCTCACATCGCGGGCCTTCTTGAAGAGCCAATTGGCCGTCCTTACTGGCTCCCCTGCCTGGGAAACGAGCTGGGGTCTCAAATTCAGGAGGCTCTTGGGACCGTAAGGGCCTTGCAGGTTTCTATTTTGTTGTTTTATACTGCTTTCAGAACCTGAAATAAAACCATTTGGGGACTCTTTTGCTGAACGGACCATTTGGGGTGAGGTCGTTCTAACTTGAGATGTGCTGCGCGCTGTTAGAATTGAGAGTTGGGTTTCCAATAAGTAGCGGTCCCGATAACAAGTCTGATAAAAAGAAAAGAAAACATATCTATATATATATATATAATAGCGAGATATACCAGTCCTGGAGCAGGGCTTCTGAGATGCAATCCACCGGCAAAATCCCCTTCTCAATTGTCAACATCTCAAAAGCGCAACTGAAAAGAAAGACTGCATGCCCGGCCAAATCATCAGAAGCCTGCACATCTTATCTAGATGCCCAAAAAAGTTCCAACTATTGTAGACAACTCATTGGCTGCACTCAAAATTCGGAATACCTTGTGGGTGCCAGCCATAGCAGGGGACCTGATAGGTGTGTACAGAGCTGGAACCCTGATCTGGAAACGAATGCAGCTGCCTATCTAGTGAGAATAGGGTTTGGGGTAAACAAGAATCTTATAGGGTTCTATGGGAATGAGATTTGTGAACCTCCAAGCTTCTACGTTGAGTAACCCCTAAAAACACAACCTAACCCAAAGTTCCGTTTGATTTCCCATGTTGTTTTCATTAGGTCCCCCATTCTTGGGGTCATGCTCCAGGCTACCTGAAACCCGATGATTTCACAAACCTTGAAAACTTTAGGGTTTAGGGTTTAAGGCTTAGGCTTTAGGGTTCTTCAGATGGACTTGAAGTACGCCCACACAACCAAACGGGAAGAGTCTGCGTGCGTGTTCCCATCTCCAAGGCTCAGGCCTCTACACCTCAAAGGCAAGCAAGCTTTGGGGATGGTGATGGTGGGTGCATAGGATTAGGGTTTAGGGTTTAAGGTTTAGGGTTTATGGCTTTAGGGGCCTAAATAATCAAAAGAATAGAGAATGTCTCCCACATCCAAGAATGTAGGCTAAATCCTGAAAGGATTCCCAATATCATGTCAGATATATACAGAAGTTGTTGGGCTCCCCGGGATTTCAGTTTTCTCAGAGCTGGGGCTGCTTTGAGGACCCTCTGCAGGGATTAGAGATAAGGTTTAGGGTTTCTCGAGATCGAGTGCGCTTATAGGGATAGGTAAAGTTAAGCAGCGGCTCTCAAAAACTATGTGGATGATGAGCTGGTCAATCAGAGTCCTGAGCAGTGACTAAACAGGACACCCCGATGTTGATTGTGCACGAAGCGTTACATTTACAAGGTTCCGGAGGCTTGCACAATCTACTGCATAGGGCTGGATACGTAGACTAGCATTTTCAGAGGTATATTACACTATATATTTACAGGGAGCACTATGCCATAACAGTGACAAAAGGGTTATGAGATGATACGCAGGGTTATGAGAGGATAACACTGGTAGGTAGTTAAGCTTCTATGTTGTTGGTAAATACTGAGGCTTCTACATTACAGACTGCCGCTGGCTGGCCATGCAAGCAACTTGCTGATCGTGTCATTCGGGCGCTGTGTGTGACACTATGTGCAGTGCTGTTCGATTACTAAGGACTAGTTTCCACTACTGTTCTTGCAGAAATCGTTTAGAACTATAACTTATCTAACCTCTAAACCCTGTTGAAATTACATAGGCTGCTGCAGTATCTTCTTATCACCGCGGAGTCTGGGTGACCGTGCGGATCGATGGCGTGGAGCCGTCGCTCGCAAAGAAGCGCTTACCAGTGGAGTCGACACTCAAGACCTACGTTGCAAGGCTTCAGAGCTCGAGGAATTCTAGAAAGAATGTGATACCGCTGGATAAATACTGGATCGCCTCATGTGATTCAAAGTGCACTCCGCAATTCAGCAGTATTGGGCTTCCTATGTAATGGTAAGTTGAGCTAAGGTCTCTCG